ATGGCATCGTGGCAGAGTAAAGGCCCTCTGATGTTTAGGTGGTTTGAGTTTCGTTAAGTATGCCTTAGGGGAGCCACAGTACCTGTTGGATTCACCCTTTATTCCCAGTACCTAAACACGGGAGGGCCTTCACCCCGGAACAATCAACTGGATAGGATGGTCCTGTTCTCTTGTCTTCAGTCAACCAAAACTGCACAACTGTCCCTTCATTTCAATTTCACTGATGCACACAGGACAAAAAAAGAAGGAAGGAAGGAAGGAAGGAAGGAAGGAAGGAAGGAAGGAAGGAAGGAAGGAAGGAAGGAAATCAAATGAAGAGAAGAGTTTTTGTCTGACTTCCCCAGCTGAATGAAGAACTGTGGAACTGACCACCTGTCCTCATGTCACAATAATAGGTTGCTTCATCTTCAAACAGAGCCCCAGGGATAGTCAAGGACATCATATTCCCTGATCTGGACCCAGAGAAATGAGCTGGAACCCCCAACAGTCTGGTACTGGTGCTATAGATCAGTGTTCAAAGTTTACTCCTGGGTTTCTGCTGGGACCACCAAGGGTAGTTGCCATCCCCAGGATTTCCACCATCGTATTGACAAGATATGGTGACTGTCCCCCACAAGGGGCTACAACTTCTGGGTCCTTCATAGTCTGCAGTTGTTGAAGGCTGGGACCTGAAAGAGAGCAAGGCATTGCTTCTTCAACTGAGGGTCAAGAGAACAACCACCAAGAATTGAAAACTTGGCTATCTAGCAAGGAGGCTCTTCTGACTTCATTTCTAGAAAAGTTTGTGCCTCCTTCCAAAGGGATTTCTCTTACCAATAGAGATCAGGACTATGCACAGAAGAAGTGCCTGGACCAGGGTGGGAGACCTCGATGGGCCAATCACTTGTCTAAAGCAAAGGGATTTCCCATTCACGTCCTCTCCGCCTCTCTTAAATCCCCAGAGGAACATCATCATGCAAATGTCTTGCTTTCGATCTTCCAACCCAGACCTCTGAAAGGCAGATTACAGAGGAAGCATCTGATAAGATATATGTCATGTAAACATCATATTTTCTTGGAGTGGGGAGTAGGGGTAGAGGAGAGAATTAGCCCGGGAATGG